CCCCTGGCTCTGCTGCCTGCTGCCAGGCTGCTGGAGGGCTGCTGGCTGGGCAGAGAGGCTCCCCCCCAGGTCTGTCACGAGGCACTGCACTCCCAGTGCTCTGGTCACGGTTGCCATGTGTCTCACACTCTCACACTCCCCCTTTGCCTCCCTGTCCCCTGGCTGCCCAGGAGAAGGCCCAGGAGATGCATATTCTCAAGAGCATTGGCACAGTGTGCCGAGCTAGCAGACACGAGGGCTTGTTGCAGGGCCTGGGTGTCTTCTGCGACACAGACAAGCTAGCAGAGAATATCAGGGTGAGGGGACACCTGGTGGGTCTGGGGAAGGGGGCAAGGCCCCTGGGCATGGGCACACTGTGAGGACAGCGCTTAAGCGGGGAAGGGGGCAGTGGCAAGCATGTGTGGACACCGAGCTGCCCCAAGGGGATGCGGGTACTTGAGGAGAAGCCCTGCCAGCAGAGACCGCAGCACCAGGGGTGGAAGGCGGGCATTCTGGGGGCTGGCACTGGGGTGGGGGCAGAGGGGCTTCACGAGCCTAACCAACTAGTGCCAGGTCTGCTGGCACTGGGTGCAGGTGGCTGACAGCTCCCATCCCGGTTGTGCTCTGCAGGCTCGGCTGCAAGAGGAGCCCAGAGATCACCTGCATACGGCGGTGCAGCAGCAAGCCATGCTCACCACCGCTGCTTTGAGGTACCTGCCCAGCCCCTGCCTTGACTGGCACCTCTCCACAGCCATCAGTCCTGGGGCGGGCTGGGGGGCACCCCCCAATCTGGGCAGAGTCAGATGGTGCCATCTGCAAGGCCTCTGCTCTCCTCTGCTCAGGACTTGCCCGGAGGGTGGGAGGCATCAGAACGCTCCTCTGGCTCACACCAGAGTCAAGGAGGGAGGAGAAGCCTGCAGGCAGGGCTCCCTCCACAGCCACCGTCCTTCCCAGGGACCCCTTCCCCAGAGGTGCCTCGAGGCACCATTCCCAGCACCTGTGTCCAGCAGGCCCCTCTCTCCACAGCTCAGTGGAGATGATGCCAGAGGGCACAAAGAAGCACCTCTTACACGGCTGCTTCAGCAGTGTCCTCTGGATTCCCCCAAAGAGGACACAAAGGGCCTGGACACTTCTTTCTACCACAAGGTAAGCACTGGAGCTCTGGTGTCCCCTGGGGGGCCCTGGTCACCCTGTGCCAAGAGACGACTGTACATGCAAGGCAGGGCATGCCTCTCCCCCCAGTCCTGCACAGGACAGCACTGCCGCAGGAGCACACTGGGAGCCCAGAGCTGGCAGCTCTCCCTGTGCAGCGATGCTGCACAGCTCTAGCTGCTTTGGGAGCCAGGGCTGGCAGGGCCCTGCAAAGCTCTGACTCCCTGGGCATCCAGCCCAGGTGGACTCTTGGCTTCATGGCTTTGGCTCAAGCTGCTGCCCCTCAGCCCTTCTGAACTTCTGCCTCCCTCACCCAGGCCTGGCACTTCTTTGAAAGAGAGGAGGACAGCCCTATCTGCTACAGAGGCATCCCTATTCCCATCCTGGGATAGCTGCTTAGGACACGTCGTCCTTCTCAGCCCTTGCAAGGACAAAGAGACCAACTGTGCAGCTTCAGATGCTCTTTACCACCTCTTCAGATTCATCCTGCAGCAAAGAGGTAAGAGAAGTTGTGGTGGGCTGGGTCTCTCCACACGCACACATCTCTTGATACGACTGTCCGGGATCCGTTCTCTGCTTTTCTCCTTCCTCACTCCTCTCGGGGTCTACAATTGATGACCACATCCCAAACCACTTCTTCCTTATCAGGGAAGAGCAGTTCCAGCTGGGCATCGTGCTGGCTGGTCCCTGCAGTGCCTGTAGCAAGAAGCTGTCCTTTCTCCTAATCCTTCTCCATTATTCCTAAGGAATGTTCCCATCTTGTTCCCATCTCCTGCCACCCTTTGCTTTACACCCCTGCCCGCCACCTCCTCCCCTGACCATGGGTCGTCATAACCTCCCTCCTCCACTGTTTCCAGTCCAAAGCTCTTCTTGGCAAAGATGCTGTGTCTTAACAACTCTTCAGTCTTTCTCCCCTGTTTCGGCATTGCATGGCCAGAGGATAATTCACAGTGCCAAAGGATTTTGGTGCTGCCAGCGCCTCCTGGCTTTCTTTGCCCAGCACCAACAACATGACTGAGGCAATGAGCTCCTCCCTTGCTGGGACTCTTGCTTGTGGCCTCAGCAGGGGACTTGTGTGGGCAAAAGGACCCAGAGTCAGTGGGGCTGGCATGGCCTCAGTGTCTCTGGTGAGAGGGTTCCTGCTGTCCCTGAGCAGGGACTGTCCAAGGGCTGCACTCCAGTATCCCAGCAGCAACTCCAGCCCTCCTGGCCACCAGAGAGCCCTCATTGTCTGCAGGACCAACACATTCTGCCTGTGAGCCCAACCATCTTCCCCCACCCTGAAGGCCCTCTCTTCTCATCCTCCCCTGTGCAGGGACTGCAGCCCCTGCTTCCAGCTTTCCTGCAAGCACTGCCACCAGCACTGCTGGGCATCTGTTACCAGGGCTGCTCGCGCTGCCCAGCTGGGCAGCACCATCAGGGCACTTGGTGTGATATGTCTTCCCTCACTTCCTTCCTCCCATAGAAGTTTGGAAAATACCTCAAACCTTCTGAGAAGACACGTCATCCTCACAAGCATTGCAGCAATGAGACATTTCAGCATCTTTGACATGCAGGCAGCTAGCACCATGCTGGAAGCGATCATGAGACCCTGCCTCCTGGATGACGGCTGCAAGTCGACTGTGGCTGGATGGCCTCTCCCTTGAGCCCTTTCAGGCATTGTTCTCTCTCACTCTCCATCCCTCCCTCCCAAACCCAGGTGTCTCACGTACCTGAAGCCACCTTAAGCCAGCAGTGAGGGATGGAAAGGGCAACTGAGAAAATGGCTGCACTCCAGTGGCAGCACCATCCTCACTGTGTCCCCTCCAGGTGCCAAAGTCCATGAGCTGCATCCAGGAAAATCTGGAATGCATCCACATGGTGTCAGCCCAGCAGACCAGTCACTGCTTTGCCTGACAACCGAACAGCGCCCCACGCAAGTGGTCACAAGCCCATTGGACTTCTCTCCATCAGGTGGCATGTACTGGTCCCCAAAACGTTGAGGACTTGTTCCCTGTAGGGAGAGGGACCTGGAGACTCTCTGGCCAAGAAATACTGACCCAAGGAATACTGGCAGGGCACCCTAAAGGAGCAGGGCCCTCCTTCCCACCACGCTTTCCAGCCCTGGTGGGTCAGCCAGGCTCGCAGCAGCCAAAGCTGCTGGACAAGCTGGCACAGAGCCCTACCACCACGCTCCTGCATGGCCCAAGGGGAACATCATCTCAGCCCTCTCCCGCTTGCCTGGGCAGGGCCCAAGCAATTCCACAGCAGCCTGAAGGATGGTGAGGAGGGGGAGGATGTGGCCCCTGAGATGGTGAGTTGATTAGAGGGTGGTGGGGCTGGTGTCTCCCCCTCAAAGCAGGGTGGTCCCAGGGTTGATGCTCTTTCCCCCTCTCTCCTCACAGCTGCTGCACATCATCTCCTTTCTGATGCTGCCTGACCTGCTGAGACTGGGCCAGACCTGCTGCTATCTCTATGAGGTGTGTGACAGGGAGGCTCCCCCAGTGCCACCTCTGCACCTCTCTCCCCCTCCACTGCCAGCACCTGGCCCTGCAAGAAGGCCACCATCCTCAAATGTGAGTCCGCCATTGCCGAGGGAGGTGGTGGTGGCAGGGGTGGTACCTTGATCCCCAGCCCATGACAATGTCCCTGCTTCCCCCACTCCAGACACCAAGGGACTGTACCTCCAGAGCTAGGGCCACCACCGGCAGTGAGCACTGATGGCCTTCATCCTCTCTCCCCCCCCTCACAGCTACTACAAGCTGGTGCCTGCTCAGCAGCCCCTCTTCCTCCTGGATTATGGCAGGACCCTCCTCTTCCTCCATGAATCTGACCTCCACACCTGCTACTGCCAGGCCCTCTCCCATGGTGTGAAGGATGTACACCAACCCCTCACCCTCACTTTCCCCCATGCCACCACCAGACCAGGTGACTGTCCCCTCCTCCCCACAGGTAACAGCGGACCCCCGTGAGGAGCCCACCCACGTCTGCACACCAGTGGAGCAGGAGCAGTGCAACACCCTGGAGGTGTTTGACACCACAGATGTCTAGCACATCTGCGTCAGCTTCCCCACCTCCATCCGCTTCAGACAGGTGGTCATCACCAGCATGGAGGTGACGTGAACCCTTCTGCTCCTCACAGATTTGGGGGGACACTGAGGGGGTGGAAAGAGCACCTTGAGATGGGGTGGGGGTACACTGTAGGGAGTGGACACAGCAGGAGAGACACACAAACCAAATTCAGCCCCCTGACTTCCCCATCTTTGAATGCAGAGGGGAGGCAGGTGTCCAACTTGTTACTGACCCTATCCCTGACCCCAGTGTCATCCCTGTAGCTGCCATGTCCCCATCACTGTCCCCACAGGTGTCCTATCCACACCACTATCCCCAGCCCTGTCCATGTCCCTTCAGGTGTCTTGTCCCCCTCCCTGTCCCTACAGTGGCCGTGCCTCCGATGTCACCCCTACAGGTGTTCTGTCACCACAGGTGCCCTGTCCCCACCCCTGTCCCTCCCTGTCCCCAGTGTCCCCACTCTGTCCCTATTCAGCAGGTTCTCTGCCCACCCTGCCCTCACTTCATCTGGCGCCACCTCAACCACTCACTGGTGCTGACGCAGGACAGGACCCTGCTGGGCTGCGGGGCTGGCAGCTCACTGCTGGGCTGGCCCCATGGGAGCATCAACTTTGTCTACTTCTGTGTCACAGTGAGACCAGGGGACACCAGAGACCCCACCAGGGACCCCACCGAGGGTCAGGGAGGGGCCCCCAGGCATGCCCTCTGCCCCATCCTTCCCAGGTCCCCTGCTCGGTCAGCAGCATCAGCACCTCCTGCCATTGCTTCTTCCTTCACTGCAGCCATGACACTGGGGGGCTGCGGCTCTACCAGTGGGCATGGCAGGAGTGGAAGCAGCAATGATGGAACCAGCAGCACAGGATGTGCCAGAAGTTGATGAAGGTGATGCCATGAGGCAGCCATGAGGCAGTACCAGCACAGAGCTACCGCAACCTCCCTCACACCTCTCCCAGAACAGGCTGTTGTCACATGCATAGAGACAACGTGGACACCTTTGCTCCTCACAGGTTTGGGTGGGGAGAATGGGGGGATACACACACCAAATTCAGCCCCCTCACCCCCTATCTTTGAAGACAGAGGAGGGGCAGGTGTATCACCTGTGGTTGAACATGCCCACTTGGCCCCACACCCCATCGGTCTCCACCAACCTGTCTGCACCATGGTTGCCGACCACAGCACAGCCACCTTCCTCACCAGTAGTTCCCCTCCAGTCCGCCAAATCCCCTAAATTCACCCAAAAAACCCACCCCCTCATGTGACCCATGATCTCCCGCTGATATAGAGGACTTGTTCACTCCCATGCCCATCCTCCTGCTGCTGCCCAAGGTAAAGGGAGGTTCCCTAAAAGGGTCCCCACCTCTTTTTAGGGCCCACAGTTTCCTTTTTAGGGTCTAAAACTTCACTTTTAGGGCAGAAAGCACTGCTTTAGCATCCTGCCCAACTGTCCAAAGCCTCATTTTTCCTTTCCAAAGTCTTAGTTGGGGCTTTCAAAGCTTCATTTTAGACTCCAAAGCGTCATTTTATGGTGCAAAGGCTCAGTTGTAGTTCGTAAAGTCTCCTTTTAAGAGTACAAAGCTGCATTTTTAGTTTTCAAAGCCTCTTTTTCAGGCTCCAGAGAAGCATTTTTAGGATTCAGCCAGTTGTTTTTAGGGTCCAACGTGCATCTTGAGTGTCCAAACCCTGATTTTTCTGGTCCAGACTCTTCTTTTACAGACTTAATCCTCATTTTTTTGATCCCAAAGCCTCATTTTTAGGGTAAAATCTCTTATTTATAAGTTACAAAGCCCTGCTTTTAAGGTTGAAAGACTAATTTTGAGGGCCTAGGGCATCATTTTTAATGCCCAAAGTCTGATTTTGAGGGTCCAAAGCCTTGGATACCTCTCTTCAGTCTCTGGTCCCCTGAGGACATCTGTAGTCTGTTCAAATCCTCTGTAGACTACATCATCATTTCCTCAACGCTTCTTTTGCCTGTCCCTCTCAGAACTCCTCTGCTACTGTCATGCTGCCTCATGAGGTCTTAGATGTTCCCTGCAGCACACTTTTAACTCCATATGCCCTCTTCGGACTTATTTTGTTGCAGTCACACCTCTCCTAAGATCTCAATTCCTGAAAAACAGCAGGTTTTCTTCTCTATGCCACCTAGGATGAGACCTTCCCTGGGCTCCACAGCATTTTGGTAGCATTTCACTTCCCTTTCAACCTCCCTTATCCCTCCGAGCTTTTCACAATCCCTTTGCTCCCAGTCAGTGTGCCTCCTGAGACCTTCTTTGTGCCCCACAGCCCTGTTTTAGCTCTGTAGTGGACTTTGATCCTCTCTCGTTCCCACAGAAACCCATACTCAGGGTTTTTTTGTGCCTCAGCACCCTCTTATCATCCTCTCTGCTGTCTAGGATGCCTTCATTTGGTTCCTGGCCTCCCAAGGACATCTGTACTCCATTCACATTTCCTCTATAATTTCTCCCTTGTGTCCCTGAGCCTTCTTTGGTCTCTCTGGACCATTCAGAAGCCCTCTCACGGTGTCACAACACCTATGGATACCTTTGAGGTTGCCCTTAGCACACCTTTAGCTTTGTAGCAGTCCTCACACCCTTCTCATTCCCTCAGAAAACACCCTGAGTCCATATCTGTGACCCTGCCCAGTCATTCTGTCCTTTCGTCCCTCTAGCCCTGCCCCTATTTGTTCCCTGGACCTCCAATGAGGGCCCCAGCCTCTCCTCAGGGAGCTCATTCTGCTGTTGGGCTTCTCTGGTGTCCTGGTTCCGGCAGGGATGGGGTTAATCTCCCCAGGAGCCGGCAGGGGGCAGGTATTCCATACCACGTGACCCATGCCCGAGCTATAAGAGGAGCTAGCCGGGCGAGGAGAGGAGTCGCCACTCGGGGGTGGGCTGCGGCGGTGCGGGTCTGGTCGGTGCGCTTCGCCGCGGTACTGTAATCGCGTTTTTGTCTTTTCCTTTTGCTGTTCTGTTAAATTGCACTCTTTTAACCCACGAGTTTAGCCCTGTCATTTTCTTTTTCCACGACTGTGGGAGTTGTGCGAGCGGCTGCGTGGTTCTTTGTTGCTGGCTGAGACCAAACCACGACAGTTCTTTTTGGCGCCCAACGTGGGGCACGAAGGGTTGCAATAACAAATTTCTTGTATTCATTTCCCATATTGGTTGGATAGATGCTGGTTACAATGTTACTTCGTTTGTTTGCGTGGCTGTGCTTTGCAAATTCTTACATGCTCTATCTACTCCCCGTGATGCTGTTTGTTATCTCGGGGAGAGGGATCAGGGCTATAATTTTGCTGTCATTTGCAATTTCAGCTTATGATATGATAACATCACTATTGAAGTGGCTTTGTTGGGGTGTCTATGCAGTATTGCTGTCTTGTCCATACCTTGGTTATCATCTTTCAGAAGTTATTAATAATATCACCCAATCTATGGGAGAAACAGGGGGAGATACTTTCCCCAGCTCTTTTGCCTCCCTTTTCTCCTTTGGGCCAGATATGACACCTCTTGAGAACTTTGAATATCCTTGGGATGCTCAAACCAGCATGTTTCTATTGCTATGCCTGCTGAATGTTTTTCAGATCTTGTTTAGGGTTAAGCAACTGTTTAAGTCTACCACCCAGAGATCTGCCCCAAGGCTGGATAGTCAGGGGTGGCATGGCATGTGGGAGAACATGGGCAGGTATCTAGAGAATTTCTCACCTCCAATGGTTTGGGACTTCACCCTCGAACAACTCCAGGACCCTGATAAAGTAATAGAATATTAAAAAGGAAAATGCTGTGGCTACTCCAGAGAGGCACAACTTACGGCACTGTGCTGGGCCCTGGCCAGTATCTACCAAACACTGCTCAGTACCATGCAAGACCCTCAGGGGAAAAAGAG